TTCAAGCACTGTTCAAAAGCGGACTGTCTCTCATAAGCGTTATGAGACTAAGGGATCAATGATGTTTTTATTGGCGGTAGTATAGAGAGATTATATGAATACACAATCGCTTAACAATGGATCAACCACGTTCTTATCCCCTGAAAACCTGATTGTCCACAGTGCGATCCAATTAGACAAATAGACAAACAAACTTCCTGTTGAAGGTAAAGTGGTCAGATTTCTCTGACACACCACAATGTCCGAAATTCTTCTTGGTGCTGCGAAGTCCAGCAATAAATGTCATTACATCATTCAGGGTGATTAACACCATGTCTTCTAAATGAGAATAATTATGCTGTTTCTTTACAAACTTGGACAAGTATCTTGTCTAACTAGTTAACATTATTGTGAGGAAGTAAATTACAGGGTATTATAGGCGATCGGCTCATTTTTTTAAGTAGTTATAAAATACGGATCATATGGCTCTGACATCGATGTTGGATATTTTTAGACCAGTTCCGTACCAAACACAGAAAGACCAATTTACGCCAGAAAATTCAGCTACTGAGTGCACCAGAAATCTATGATTCGGAAATTCCCTGCGAAGATGAGTGACTCAAAGCAGTCTGCTTGGTTTCTATCGCATATCTAGAAAAACCAAATGTCGGGGTTTTTAGCCGACATTCGATATTGTGGTATATATTCCCAAACCTTATGCTTATGAGCGTAAGCGAAGTATCAGGTAGGTTCTCATACCAGACGATAAGCTCCAGGAAGTTTTTCTGGGAGTATGGCTTTTTCTGTGCGAAGAGGGGAACGCTAACTCCGATGTATACTGTATACTGCTGAAGCAGGTTTGCGTCATCGTGTTTGTTGAGTGCATCATCTATTAATCTGTTCATTATATCAGGCACCATACCTCGAAATTTATCATCTTATTCATGAGTCAAATTATCAAACCGACTAATTATACTGTCCAGTTAGAGGTGACTTAATCTCAGCACATTTATTGCAGTCAGACATATGCTAGACTTAAATACTTCAGTAAAAAATGTTGGAATCCCAGAGCCTGCAGAAAACAGGCCTACACACATTTAGTTCAAGTAGGTCCGGGAGCGAGCTGAGTACTCCCCACAATATTTCAGGTATTCAGGATCAACTGAACAAGATCATCAGGCTGATGTGCCTCTATTGGTATATTCGTAACTATCCGGTAAGAATGGAGTATAGCGAAGCACCATCTCACTTCTCGTTTCTCCGAGTTTGTAGCCAATGGATTGCCTTTACATTAATAGAATTCTGCTTGTAGTGACTGAATAATTATTCAACACAACATAATGTGCTAGGATGGCTAAGCCTACACGAATTCCACATTTATTTTATTGCCAATCGCAACTATCAAGTTAAGTTTATTCACTGGATGTACCACCTTCTTTTCCGCTAATATTCCTGACGTCCCAGAAGATTTTATTTTCCTGTTATTATCAGCTGACTCATTCATTTCGTTCATCATTTCATTATTCTTATCATCACTATTGTTATTTCATCATATTCTACCAAACGAATGTTATTCAGTTTGGAGTTAACCTCAGTCATATTGCCGCTACGACTTTAAAAACGTTCAGTGGATTTCCACTATTCCCTAGAGGCACGAAGAACGGAAATTGCTGAAACAGAAAAAAAAGAAATTATTGTTTCTGCATGACAAATACAAATAATCCATAAAGAGGCAAGTTGACATTGGAAATTGAAAGCTTAATTTAGCAAGGTGGCATTTACATTTTCAAGGTAACTCCACCTTCCTGATACTGACCATTGTGAATTGTCTTCGAATGTGTAGTGTTTGTCACCTTACTAATAAAGTTATTATAGGAGTAGGTAATCGATTTATTTTGTAGACAGCTTTTAAAATATTGTATTTAAAGGACTTAAGAATTATCAGACAAATTGAATATGTGGAGTCCTTATGCAGATTGCATCATCAAATGGTTTTTGACACTCCATACCCTGGTTGCTGTTTTCCTTATTTTTCGTTCTCAGTTATCTTCCAGAATAGCACATCAGGCCCCTAGAGCGTTAAATCCTGCTCCTAGGTCATGATGGAAATGTGCACATTTCCACATGTGGAAGGCACATTCACCCAGCTAGCATATTTTTCGGGCGCATTGCAGACTTTTGGGCAGACTTGGGCGAATTGAAGACTATTAAGGACAGACTTCGGGCGCATTGCAGACTTTTTGGGACAGACTTCGGGACACTGTCCCATGTAAGTAGACCTACCCGAATTTTTTGCCTCAAAAAGTCTGCATTGCTCCCGAAAAAATGCTAGCTGGGCAGTGTGTTGGAAACTAAGTATATCCCACTTTTTTCACACATATACTCACTAGCAAACGGAATCCAATTCGATTCTGAGTTAGAAAGTGAACAGGATTACTTGACCATTCCAGAACGTAGAATAAAGCGAAAACCAGATGGTAGGATAGATACTAGCATTTATAAGATACTAGCACACTCTAATAAATACTTGGGCTTTAATTCATCCCATGAAGAATCGGTAAATTTCTATATAATCGGGCCAAGAGCCAAACTAGTGAGCCAAAAGATTTAAATAATGAAATCAGACATTAAAATACCAGGGAATTTTTGGCCACCAGAATTTACTCAGAAATGTATAAAGAACCATAAGAGAAATAAGATTAGTAATAAAAATGACGAAAGTAATATTGGATCCAGGATGTCTTCAGTACTGCCACATAGATAAGAGATATCAGAGGCTTTACATGGAATTCTCAGTGAAACTGGAATTAGGTTGTCATTTAAACCAACCAACTCTCGCAGAAATAAACTTTGTTGGCTGAAGGACCCATGGATCCAATTAAGAATAATAATAATATACTGTACCAAATATCATGTAATGACTGTGAGATCAATTGCATGGATGAAACTAGTAGGTAGGTATCAATTAAATTATTGGAACATAAAGATTTAGTTAAATCTAGAATGACTGACCCTGCTTAGTTAAATAGCCTGGGAAGAAGCCCATTCATTGCATTGCACTCATTTGCATGGAATCACAAAATAGGGTGGGATTATTAAAACTTAATATAGTTAGGCAGAGAAAGAGGTTAATCACTGAAGCTTTGTTCATCGATCCAACACCACACTTGTGCAATCGAAGTGAAGTAACACCCACACTGGAGATATGAAAAGTGTCAACAAACAGCAAGTGAACGAGGGAGAGAGAGATGAAGAGAGAAAAAAAGGTATAAGGCAAATTCTGAAGCCATGTGTATAAACTGGCATAATTATGAGCAATCATTCACGGTGGGAACGCTATCCTGTTGTTAATACTGCATCAGCTATATCTAAAATAAACTTAACTAATACGGAATTGCATTCCAATGTAGTGCCCAAGTTTTCTTTTTACTTTAACTGTACAACTATGTTAGGATAATGTTTACGTAATAACAAATAAATATTTCTGTTCAACAGTAGTTTATATTTTGATGGTGTTTCCGTAGCGTACATCTAGTTAGATTTCAGTCAGTAGTATTTGAAGTCCATGTCAAGATTAAATATTGGTTTAAAGAGTGTGACTCGCAACTCATCAGTTACGATTGGTGATAATTTCTGGAAAGATTAGTAGCCTGAATGATTGGGCAAAAGCATTTTCTCTCTTTAAATCTAAGGCGCAGGTGGATGGCTTCTCCAGTTTTTGTTGTTGTCGACTAATGCACCACTCCTCTATGAATTAGAAATTCATAATGAAATAATGCAGTGGTGTAGAGTACCAGCAGGTCAACAAACAAAATTTATGGTATCTGTGACTGCTATAATACTTAAAGACATTCAAGGAGTGATACGCTAGGGTTTGGTTAACCTTTGAGACTTCTGCTCTGATCACAAAGACTTATTTTCCAAAAAACTTGTTCGTCTTAAAAGCAACCATATGCATGACCACATATATGTCGTTGACTTTTGGGATGAATATGAATCCTTGTTAGTCCTACAGCTGTAATACACCAAATGAATAACTCGTTCATGAGAAATAACACTTAATACCAATGTGTTTGAGAATAAATTTAAGAACTTTTCAAAAGAGGGTTCTCAAAATCTTTCAGTGACGAGATTTTAATGGTAGTTAGATGATCTCATACAGTCACTCATATAGTGATACCTAGAAAATAACCACAGATTTTGAGTCACACATACTGCAGATTGATGAGGCTTTGAATAGTAACTAGACTTAATGCGTCATTCAGCCCATACAAACTGATAGTCTATTAATTTCAGCTGCCTATATATTCAAAGATTCAAATATTTCTTTTAAACCTTCAAACTTGACGAACGGGAACATTTAATGGAAAGGTAAAATGAACACCTTAAGAAGAACGGTAGATTATTTTGATGAAGGGTGGTAAATACTCTTGTACAATACCTCTGTAACAACAGAAGGCAAGATACGGAAGCCAAGGTATATTTTTCATTAATCAAACCGCTGTTTATATATATATATATATGGTCGGCCTGCGAAATTTGGGCTACCGATATCCATGCTGAAAATTCCATACCTGTACCAAAAATACGGTGTGGAATCAAGCTGCAATCAAAAATAAAAATAAATTGTCTGTACCACACTACCACTCCGTCAGCTTTAGTAAATAGCTATATGGTTGTAGGTGTGTTCAATTCGTATCCACTTCACTAGCTTCATATCCTCGATCAAAGCGACTAAAAGACCATTTGTCAACCTTCTTTATCTGGACTATTATTTCTGATCCCTTTATTGCTTTCTTAACTCTACCACACGTGATAGTATTCCTTTCATAGTAACTTATTTAGCGCAAAATAAACATGACATTGGGGTTATTGAAAAGTAAACCGTGTATTATTTGTTATCTCACAGCGCTTATTTGGTTTCAATTCAAATGTATGTTTTGCTTGTAGATTACAATTTTGCATGATTGTTTCTTATTGAGACAGAATTATTAACTGCAAAGTAAAAACTCAACTGTACGATGCTTCAACCACCAATTCCCCGGTAAATCATTATTAATTTTCGTAATTTATTTTAGAAATTCATCTATTAAAACATCACTTTCAATACTGAACACCCTAAAACATATTGTGGAGTCAGAGGAGTGGTGTGACTTAAAGTAACTCCTTCACATTTGTTTCACAGTTGTAGAAGCCTAATAGGTTTAATTACAGAAAGACTGAAAAATCTGTGTAAAAATTCCAATGACAATACGGTGATTCTTAGTACGACTTTAAGAGTTTTAAAAGTCATTCGTGAAGAGGCACTCAAGTATGCGTTCCCACGGTAACCATATCAAAATTCTGTAGATTCCAAATGGGAGAAAATGCTGATTTCGAAGAAAATTTAACAGTTCGTTCATCTTAAGTCTAAACTTTTGTAGAATCGTCTTTTTGCAGTTGGGGATGAAGCTTACGAAGCAGTTTCTCGAGATGACATTTTAGAAGCTATCCTTAACACATTGGATGATTTAGTTGTTGATATAAAGTCGTCTTTGACAAGTTTAGCAGACTTGTCCTTAGATTTCATCCACTCCGATGAACTAATAATGACATCAGGATATTCCAAAGCAGTGTACCATTTTCTACGTGTATGTTTGACATAGTTAAAATTATTCTTTAGCATGCGGCGAAAAAGGGGAGAAACTTCAAAGTTATTATATGTGAATGTTATCCTAACAACTTAGTAATTATTCGATTTCTCTTAATTGTTAAAAGGGACATAAATTAGCTGATGAACTGTCAAAGGATAATGTGGATGTTATTTTAGTTCCTGATAGTCACGTCTACGGTTTAATGTCACGAATAAATAAAGTAATATTTGTGCAGTGATTTAATTTCTTAGGTGATCGTCAGCTGCCAGGCTGTTTATCCCGACGGGACATTGAAAGCAACAGTTGGAACATATGGTGCTATGCTTGCTGCCAAAAGCTTTTCCATCCCGGTAATTTAGGCTGTTTTTTATCTTCATTATTCATAAAATTTTTTTGAATTATCAAGAATTACTACTTAAAACGTTAAAAAGTGTATTTTCATATTTTGTTATATCAAATAATTCATCTATTCCCTAACAGTTCACATTGTGTCTGCCAAAATTATCTTATTCCCTACCTTAACACTTGTAGTTATGTAAAAAGTTTGAGTAAGCTGTTATTTGGTGTTTCTAAATGTGGTAGAGTTAGCCAACAAATTTTCACAAGGATGTGTGTTTGGAAACTGGACATTCTGTCTTTGTCTTTCCAATGGATGGTCTACTATATGGGGGGAGGGCTAAGAAATACAAATTAAACTGTTGTGTCAATGATGATTTATTTCATTGGTAGTAAAATAGCATTGTTGAATGCGTAGACCGTGTTACAAGCCCTGGCAATTCAGTTAACTTAGTCTGATTGTTGACTGTGATAAGATTCCGGTGCGAGTACGGTCAACTTTTTTCTTTTAGCATGTCCTATGTATTATACGTGTAATTTATCGAATTCCCTTTCAGACAGATGTGCATAAATGATAGGACAGTCAAGGCCTAATTTTGTAGCCTATGCATGAAAAAAGAGTAAACAGGAAAGGTAAAACGAAGTAAGGATTATAGTTTCAGCAACTATGAAAAGTTACAAAATAAAAGTAGTAATAGTAGTAGAAATTAAGGAATACAAGTGTGTACAATTTTCAAAATTCAGACCGTGGAATAACGTGATTCAATGTCTATCATTATCCTGTTCTTTGCTGTATAGTATGATAGTCGACTTTCATGAATTAGAAGTCATTCATTCCAGTCGGAGACTCATTTGACTGGTATCATGTTAAGTCTTACTTATTAAGTATTTCTACTGAACAGTGTATGGATAAACGGTGACTTAAAATCCGTAGCATATTTAAAAATCACTTCAGCTTACGACTTGATTTTGCTCATAAATTACAACTGATTTATGCATTTCTCACACGACGAACTCATTAAAGGTGTACTGAATTGGTAACAGTGACTGAATGTTTCTAAATATCATAATTCCTGCACTTGTATTACATGTTTTACAACTAGAATCTTTTTCACAGAATTCTGGTTGTGTAGACTTTACTTCGGATTAGACTGGTGGTTCTATGAAGTCTTAGGGTCATTTAAAATAAGTCTTAGCACTGTAGTAGTCCACTCATTACCGGTTGGCAAACCGTTAACTAGACAGTATTGATATTATGAGTATAGCATTACGTTTAAGGCAAATCTGATGATGTTATCCGTTTGTCTAGCCTGTGTTATATGTAATTATCCATTGACCATTGAAATTCCTTATTAGCTACAGTAATAGGACAGACAAAACTTAAGCGCCACCAATCAAGGAATTAGTTGAAATTCATGAAGTTCTGCTAATTTTCACTACGTAAACAGTCGTTATTCAATGATTTAGGCGCATTACTTTCAACCATCGAGTCATACATTCAAGTTTAACTATTCAGTCAATGCCACCGGTAGCCAGATAGCATTACCTGCCACTTTTAAAACAGTTGTTGACTACTCTTATGCTTGTAAAGTTGCCTTTTAGCATTTCAGTCGTCAATGCTGTCATCGTTTTCTAAAGTATTTACACTAATTATATTCGAAGATAGAAATTCACGAGTTTGAAAGCTAAATCAAACTGAAGCAGCATAATATGGATGCATAATTTCAAGTTGAGTTGTTACACGTCTATTTTAGCTTAATGCGATGTTTGCTGTTACAAAAGTTCATGTTAAAAGCACTTGTGATTTTTAGTCTCTTGCTGTTGAATAAAATCAAATCTGTATTTACTCTCTTTCAGATTTATGTGTGTTTACCGCACTACAAACTTTCTCCTATACCATTCAAACTATCATCTCGATCAACACCATCATTCTCTGTACAACCTACTGCCAATCCCAGTGATCGTTCAGTCGATTGGCTTGATAGTCCATCGCTTATTCTTCCACCAAATGACCCTGAACTAGTTAATGAAGGGTTAGTATATCATCAGCCAAGTGACGGTCCAGTTGTCTGGGTACCGAAATGGGAAATTATACCTTCTGGTCTTGTCAGTTTGTTTTTAACAAATCTTGGCACTCATGCTCCTTCATATTTATATGCTCTTGGAAGAGAATTATTTCACTCAGCAGATATCAAGACTACTTTGACATGGACTTAATCATTTATATAATTTCTGTACAAAGAAAGCAATATATTTTTTGGGGTATAATATTCATTTTATTTATTCATGATAATAGTAAACCTCGATTGTATCTGCTAACTAGGCGAAAATAATATACAAAATATATGATATTCGTTAGCAAATGCAATTAGCTAGGGATTGAAGTTAATATTTACATAAAGAGATTAGTTTACCAAGTGTGGTGGTTGTTTTGTAAATTATTATTATGATTTCCTTTAATTCCTAAATGAACATAGGGTTTCAGCCGCGCGTCTCCACTGCGTTCGGTTCTCTGCTAAAGTTTTCACCTGACTTCAGGTCTGCCCACATGCTTTCATCTCCTCTTCATATGACCTCCTCCAAGTCCCCTTTGCACTGACGACCAACTTGCCGCTTCCTTTCCGAGTTCCACTCGAGCGATGGCCTGGAGTGTGATGTCACTTGATGGTTTGTTTCCTCAGAGTATGACCAGCCAATCCACCTCCATTTCTTCCTGCTTATGTGTTTCACAATCGGTTCCTGGTTAGTTTGTTCCCAGAGATCCCTTCCTGTTGGTGATCTTTTCTGGCTGGCTATCTGATCTTGAGTGGTATTGAGCGAAGACAGCTGTTGATGAAGGTCTGTATCTTGTTTGAGGTGTTCTTTATGACGCACTGGCCAAGTCTCTGATCGGTGTATAGTAGCACTGACTGGCTTCACATTGGAGTTGAAAATCCGGATCTTAATTTCATTTCCGTGCTGAGTGATGTTGACCTCCACACAGACTTGAGAGTAATGAGAGCTTGTCTTGCTTTTCCGATTGTTGCTTTGATATCCTCGTCAGTTCCACCCGTAGTGGAAACGATGCTTCCCAGGTCGGTGGGTAAAGGAGGTTGTTTCTTTCAGGTTCCTCCCATTTACACTGGCTGATTGTTGTCTGTTGTTGCTGTTGGTGTTGGTCAGGAATCTTCATCACTTCTGTTTTCTCTATGTTTACTTGGAGTCGTATCTTTGTTGCTTCTGTAGTGCACATTGTACCCTTGAACTTTTGTTTAAACTCACTCACCCCACTTTTGGCACTTCTGGATTTTCTGGTCCATGACTTTCCTGACGCACTTGGTTCGCTCCCTCGTTGTGCTTTCATACAGCGCACTCTTCGAGCCTACCTCCAGTCGAGTCAGCAGATAAGTTGTACAGTCACTTTATTTATTAAATCTGTTATTCAGTTACATTAAATACAACTCATACTAAGAATTCTTTCCATTTTTAGACTTTAAGCTTTGATTGCGTTAATCAGTACTTACACGTTAGGTAGAGTACTGGCAAGGTTATAAGACGGTGAAGTTTTTAGTAAGTGTGGTGATAAAGTGGTATATTTTAAGTCTAGCACCAACACTTACACTTCTTCTGCCAGCCTGTTGCTTTTCACTTGCATATCTTCCAGTTTGTGGGAAGTCAGACATATATCATCGGCGAAGTCCAGATCCTCCAAGTTTTTCGTGAGGGTCCATTTTAAGCCTGTCTGTCGCATTATCCAATCTACCACAATCAGGAAAATCATTGGCGATAGTAGACGGCCTTGTCTTACTCCCGTTTTCACTTAATTATTATAAAAGGTAATTTTTCACCTCTCTCAATGCTAACTAAATGTTGATCGATTTGCAGACTGCCTGACTGTTGGCGCAGAGGCATTGCATTGCCGCTGACAATTGTACTATGTAAATAATCTATACATCATGACATATAGAATGTATAGGGGTAAATACTGCCATCGAAGACTACTTGAAAGTGATTCAAAACAACCATTGTTTTTCAAATCTCCGTGATATCTGAATGTTTCTTACTAATTTCATGAAACAGCCTACGGTACAGCAATGCTTTAGAGTTTATTATAGCCAAAAGATGTTGACAAATAACGAAATATTTGGACAATTTGCCTAGACTGAGTATAATTTTGCAAAAAGTGATCACGCTACACTTAACAGCAAATGATGAATAGATTTTTAACGAATTTTAGAAATTCTGGCGTAATTGTAAATATATTGAAAAAAACCTTCCTAAGAATCTATGACATAAGCTATGCTTTAAGACTTCAGTCGTTGTAATATCCACTCAGTTATTTGTGGTAATAACTGAGGATATTCGTAACTCCAGTGAGAGATTAATGGTTGCTCTCGTCTCCCACACGGAAAACGCAACTCCACAAAGTGTAATTAATTGTATTAGGCCAATGGTTTTTTTGGATAGTATTTTTGTTTGGATCATGACATGATCTTTATTTTATATTCCAATTTGAGAGTTTCAGTAGTTTCAGTTCTGATACTTATCGCTTTGACACAATTTTATACTGGAGTGATAAATTATGCCTTTCTTATCCAATCTGAAACGAGAATGATTCATCCGACCTATGTAATTATGAATCATCTTCCTTTTGCGTGTGCATGTAGCATATAATCATTTTCAATAACTGAAAAGTAAATTTTGGCGAAGTTAAAGTATCATAACCAATGCCAAAGCCTTTCAAAAGTTGACCTTCAAGAACCAGTCAGATACAGAGAATGTTATGAAAGGTCATTAGAAATCAAATCATACCTGCCTTTGTGAACTTGGAGAGAAGAGATACAGGCGCTTTTTCTGGAAATATACACTGTTAGGCAGGGTTATAGCTTTTAAGATTAAGGTTTAGGGTCTTTGTTTAAGGTTAGTTTTAGAGTTAGAAGTAGGTTGGGGAATAGTGTCATAAATATTAATAGCTATCAAAGTACCATAACCTACAGACACCTGGATGAATCCATCTATTGCGCATGGTATGCTTTTCCTATGGAACATCTTTGAATTGACTGGGAGACATTATTACAACACGTGATCGACAACTATATAGTATAATATCACATTTGCAATGTTTATTTTAGTGCATTTCTCAACGATTATGCGATTGTTTTGCGTTTGAAATCTAATTGGTTGACCAAGATCACTGTGGTTTTCGGTAGGATAGTTTAACTTTGCCGTTTATTTTTAGGATCCAGAGGGATATGGAGCTTCAACAACACATTTCTGTTTCACTCTGTTCTCTGCAGACTTTACGATTGACCGTAGACTTTGATTTCCTCCTCACATGATAACCATGTTATCCTTGGACACCCAACTTGTCGATTTCTATTCAGGTCCCATTCCACTTTCTGACTGCCGTGTGAATTCACTTAAATTTCTTCTCAGTGTATGCCTTCTGTATATTTGTTGAATAGTAGGTTATGGTTGGTGTGATAGTTATTTGTAATAGTATTTTGCAATGACCGAATCACAGGAGATTAGACAACAACAAAACAACAATAAATATTAACAAACAACAGTGAGCATTTAAGCAATACAGTAATTATTATTATTATTCTCTTGGGTGCCTGGTGGAACATACGGCTTCAACTGCACGTCTCCACTTCCTTCTGTCTTCCTTCTGCTTTACTTTTCACCTGCATCCATGTTAGTCCATACTCTTTCAACTCCTCTTCACACCATCTCCTCCATGTCACCCTTCCACTGACGTCCCACTCGCCGCTTCCCTTTCGGCCTGGTTTCACTGGAGCAATAGGCTGACGCTCGCGCGGTATCACCCAGCGGCCTCCTCAGCGAGTGTCCGATCCATCTCCACTTTCTCCTGCGTATTTGTTGGTTGGCGATTGGTTCTTGTTTTGTCTGTTCCCATAGTTTCTTGTTGGTGATTGTTTCCGGCCCGGCCATCTGATCTTCAGCCTAAAGCGAAGACAGTTGTTGTTGATAAAGGTTCGCAACAGGCTGTTAGAAATATTCTTTGTGACCCACCCGCCAAGTTTCTGATCCGTATAGAAGAACTGACTGACTTGACGTTTATACTGAAAATCCGACTGAATTTTGTCGTTGATGCTGGCTGAGTGACGAAGATTTCCAGATTGATTTCAGGTTGATGAATGTGTTTCTCGCCTTCTCGATTCGACATCCTCGTCCGTTCCGACTGTCTGTAGTTGAGACAGTGCTCCCAAGATAATGAAGGGAATGAAGTGACCTCTTTCAAATCCCTCCCGTTGATGGTGATTGGCGCTGGAAGTTACTGCTGTTGTTGTCTTGTCCATGTTTACCTGGAGTCCTGTCTTTGCTGGCCGCTTCTTCGACCAGATTGTCGGTTTTCGCTTGTAATTCTCCGATTTTGTGTGACATCAAACATAAATCATCCACGCGCGAAATCCAGGTCTTCTAGGTTCTTCACGTCGGTCCAGGATATCTATTCCTGTCTTCTCGTTTCCCCCTGTCTGACGTATAATACAGTCCACCACAATTAGGAATATCATCGTGAGTGATAATAAGCACCCTTGTCTGACTCCTGTGTTTACTCCAAACGCCTCACTGAGTTTTCCGTTGTGGATGACTTGACATGTTCCGTTGTCGTACAGCTGTTGAATAAGGTTGATGAATATTTGGGCGCTGCACGCCGTAGTACTCGAGTAGTTTCCAAATTACTTCGCGGTCAACGCTGTCAAAGGCTTTCTCAAATTCTATAAAGTTGAGGTAGAGGTTTGATTTCCATTCCATGCTTTGTTCTGTGATGATGATTCGTAGAGTTGCGATTTGGTCAGAATATGATTTGCCTTTCCTGAATCCAGCTTGTTCTGGTCGGAGTTGTGTATCCAGTGCGTCCTTAATTCTCTCCAGGATGATGCGACTTAGGATTTTACTTGACATCAGCAAATATGCTGACTGCACTAGCACGTTATGCGTGCTAATGAATTCATCTTATAAGCTCCCAGATGAACAGAATGAAGATCATCCAAAATCGCAGATCTTGATGTTGGAGGAATAATAATTTTGTCATTCAAACATCCTTCAGGATGAACTGAAATCTCATATCTTCACTTATTAAAGTCCGGAAATGGCTTACACTGAATTTTCCAACCTCCATTTGTTGCATTTCTAATGCATCCATAATATTTCCGAGTATCGTTTATAGGTCGAACTCTATCCACAGGTAACGCCTGGACTAACAAACAATC